AAGGGCGAAGTATAATCTAAGGGTGTTGAATTTGCAAATAAATTAAATAATAACAAATGCGGGCGAGTAATATGTCATTTTATAACGAATTGATATCGCTGAAGTCAATTCAAATAACATTTTTTTATGACTCTAAATTTTCAAAATGGCGGCAAAATTTTGATTTTAAAACAAAATTTTGTTATATTCGCTATTAAGCCAGTTGGTTATTGTGTTAGAAGTGAACCACTGGTTGTGCTAGCTATAACCCAGCTGTGCTAGCATTTTGATTAAAAAAATCAACTGGGGGGGGGGGGGGGGGGGGCAACTTGACGCACCCGTCTGTTTCTCGCTCTGCATCACGTGATGAGTCGTTAGACGATCTCTGGCGGTGCTGAGTTGTCATCACCTGGAAAGTAAGCTGAGGCTATGAGAATATGTCTTGAGCCTCCCTCCGTTGGCACTTCTACTAAAATGGCTGCCACGTCTTTGGAACAGGTAAAAATTTTAAATTTTTGAAAGCAGCAATGCTGCTTGGTCTTTCGTGGTTAATATTGTAGATTAACTCACATGATTTATTATTCAGTTCTTTTATAGAGCCTCCATTGACCCAGGTCTCTTGAAGTAGCCGTACTTTGATTTTCTGTCCAAACATTCTTCTTCTAAGCTCACTAGTGGCAGCTTTTGAGTGCTGAAGATTTATTTCAATGCATTTGATGCTTAGTGAGTTGCTCCTCTTTGATTCCTTGGGAGAAGCCGTTAGAGTTGCACTCACTTTTCGGACCCCGCCTGGGCAGTTTCGTCTTTATGACTCATCGAGTCTTTAGACGTGCCTGCCCTTGGTTCGGCGCCGCTTTTTTTTGGGGAGCTTGTTTGCTCTACAGCTGTTGTGCTCCGGCTGCTCTGCGGTTTTATAGTCGTATAACCGAACTTGTAACTTACCGCGTAGCCTCCGGATTTAAGTTTTTCTGCGGATGCACTGTCCACAGAAAGGGTTAGTGAGACCAGGTCGCCCTCGGCGTTACGTCCGATAACTTGCCAGTTTTTGACGTTTAGGCCCTCATTTTGGCCTTGAACAAGATTCAAGATTTTCTCTGTGGAGTAATCTGTGCTGCTTGGGAACCGAGCAACCAAGACGTCAGAGTGAGGAATGTCAGATTCCTCTACCATCTTTAGCAAAGCTCCCTCCCAAGGCTTGATGGAGGTGATTGCAGTTTGGAGCCACTGTTGGGTGGCTATATTTTCGCAAACTAGAGCGAGCCAGCCGGGTCTGTTGTGGGCGCTCAGAAACTTCGGTTTGATTGGACAACCCGATGCTACCTCGTCCACGATCTTGTCCATGATTGCCTCTTTGGTGGCTTGTACTTGCTTCACTGACAAGAGGCAATTGGGGAAGTCTGCAGGTAGTATTCCTACGTTTATGCCTCCAGCTGTCTGGCTGAAGGTTGGTTTTGGAGCTAAAGAAGGCGGAGCACTACTGCTCGTTTCCTTCTTTTTTATGGGCGGGGCATTTCTGCCTGTTTTCCTTGGTCTTGCTTTTTTTTTCTCTTGAGCCTCAGGGGTGTTTCCCTTTGACCGGGCTCTTTTTTCGCCCTTGTCAGAGGATTCAGCCCTTTCTTTGATTGGCTCAAGGGCTTTTTTGCGGGCTTCGTCTGCACTCATCCCCTTTTTGAGGAGGAATTTCATCCTCTTTTTGGCAGCGCCACTCAGCCTGATCTTCACGTCGCCCTTCAGCTGTAGGGCGCCAAGATTTTTGCCGAGTTCGTCCTTTGTTGAACGTAGAAGTTCAGTGGGGCTTTTACAATCCCCTAAGTTTATGCATCTAGCTATCTGTCTGAAGGTTGGTTTTGGAGCCATGGAAGGCGGAGCACTACTGCTCGTTTCCTTCTTTGTTATAGGCGGAGCATTTCTGCCCGTTTCCCTTGTCCTGGCTCTTTTTGTCTCTTGAGCCTCAGGGGTGTTTTCCTCTGACCGGGCTCTTTTTTCGCCCTTGTCAGAGAATTCGCCCCTTTCTTTGATTGGCTCAAGGGCTTTTTTGCGGGCTTCGTCTGCACTCATGCCTTTTTTGATGAGAAATTTCATCCTCTTTCTGGCAGCGCCACTCAGCTTGATCTTCACGTCGCCCTTCAGGGCGCCCAGATCTTTGCCGAGGTCGTCGTTTGTTGAACGTAGAAGTTCAGTGGGGCTTTTACAGTCCCCTAATTCCATTTTCTCGGATGTGCTTGAGGCGCTAACATCCTTCGCCTTGTTTGGTTTTTGTTTGGTATCCATGCTAGGTCCCACGAGTAGCTAGGGAAGTAATTCATACAGCCGAGGCAGAGCCCCGCATGCCCCGGTCGGGCTAGTTAAGCCGTGGGTCGCCACATCCCTGGAGTTCGCATAGTATCGATTAGGCTTTCCCCTAACCACGCAGTCCTTGGCCTATGCTGTTCCACCGTGACTTGGAGGGATTTTTATTGTGGTTCGCCTTCCACTTGGCCGGCCGGTTAAGGCAAGCCCTCACGCCCTAAGATGCTTCCTCATCAACCACCGATCTTAGAGCGCGAGATATACCAGGCAGGTTTCAACAGAGGTCGACTTAGCCCCAACCCGAAACAGGGCTTCGAGACCCAGATTGCGGGCTGAGGCAGAGCCGAGTGTCCTCCTCCACGCTGTTTGTCTAGCAGACACCCAGCATACCGGGATGCTGTGTGTGTGCTTTCCTGGTATGGTGAGCCACCCTTGGTCACGACTGAACGTCTCCACATCTCTGCAGCGACGCACGGCCGCTGAGCCTCTCCACCAACGACAAGGTCCCGTGGCTCCCCGGAGAGGTTATTGATAGTTTAGTTCATTTGTTTTTTTATAAAATCTCTATATTTAATCACAACATTTCGCTTTTTTTTGAATATGGCATAACGATTGTATTATGCGTTTGCTATTTCAAGTCAAACTACCGCGGTTGCGGTTGTGATTGATGTTGTTGGCTCCATTTTTTCTACTGCGGTTGATGATGTTGGCTCCATTTTTTCTGCTTATTATTATTAATTAAGAAAATTGTAGAATATTATGGGACTTTTTTATTTAAATTACAATTTCTCATGATATTTTTTGGCATCCTGCATACCCTAAAAAATACTTCGGAGGAGAAGGTCAAGGGCGTAGCTTATCTAGGAGAATCAAATTTAAGAAATAATTGAATAAATTGGGGACATGTAGAAAAATGTTTATTTTTGTGGGAAGACTCTCTGCTTTTCCCAGAAGATGATTTTTCTTTTGCACTATTTTTGTTGCCATTGGTATCTTTTTTAACAGAACTTGATATGCTTTTATGCTTAATTGAGCTGCTTCCTGCCCCATCTTGTGTATCTTTGTCTATTGGTTTTGTTTTAGGATGTGTCTCTTTTTGTGAATTTTTTTTTTTATCAGATTTTTCTTTATCAATCTTTTCTTATCTTTGCTCGACTTTTCTCCGTGTTTTTTAGATTTTATCATATCTTTAGTTAGGTTTTCTCAGTGTTTTTCAGATTTTTCTTTACTTGACTTAATTTTGTCTGGTCTCTCTTTTCCTTTAACAGATGATTCTTTATCTTTATCTGGTAATTTTTTATCTTTGACCAAATGTTCCTTTTCTTTGTAGTCTCTCTTTATCTGATTTTTCTTTCGGTTTATCAATTTTTTCACTTTTGCTATCTGATTTGTGTGTTGTTTTGGGCTCAACACATATTGGACCATTTATTTATGGAGGTACTTCAACAACGGTTTCAGATTTTTTTGTGGGGAGCTGTAAAAGATAGCGTTTGCGAAAAAAAACTTATGCTACAGTGGATGAACTTCGAGGTGCTGTAATTGAAGCTTTCAGTAATATTGATAGGCGATACCTGAGAAAGGCGACTAATTCAGTTTTGAAAAGATGCAGCGTCAGCATTAATAATAACGATGAAATTTTCGAAAATGTTTTGTGAGATTTAAATAAAATGTCAGAATAATAATTTAAAAAAAAATTCATATGGTTACCCTAACAATTTCTTATTTTTTTTCCCCATAGTAACTAGACTTACTACGTCGAAGTCGAAGAAAAGAAAGCATGGTTAACTTTGTTCTAACCACTCCATAGTCAATTTTTTTCAAGTCCATCACCACAAATGCAAATAGACATACTGCTGAATTATAAGTGAAATATTATTTTGAGTTTTAGAGGAAATATTGCCAACTTTTATAGCAATAGTAACTGATAATGCAAGCAATATAAAAGCTGATTGGCGAATGATAAATACAAAGTTTCCGCATATTTCTACTTATGGATGCATGGCACATGATCTCAATTTATCAATACAAGACATTATTAAATTGGAATCGTTAAAAAAAATTGTTGCAGAAGGCGAAGAAATTATAAAAGAAAACAGAAATTCTCACCAAAATCTAGCAGTTTTTGTAGAGAAACAAAAACAGTTAAACATAAACATAACACTTAAATTGCCTGTATAGCTACCAGAGATTGGAAAGTAACAATTAATGTTCTCGAAGCTACTGCAGCCAAAAAATAACCTGTAACGGAGTTGATATAATTGTCCATAGATTTTTCCGACTGCGGCCTATCATTCTGCCAATAAGGAACAATTAATGTTCTCAAAGCTACTGAAGGCAAAAAATAACCTGTAACGAAGTTAATATAATTTTCTATAGATTTTTCCGACTGCGGCCTATGATTCTGCCAACAAGGAACAATTAATGTTCTCGAAGCTACTGCAGGCAAAAAATAACCTGTAACGAAGTTAATATAATTGTCCATAGATTTTTCCGACTGCGGCATATGATTCTGCCAACAAGGAACAATTAATGTTCTCAAAGCTAATGCAGGCAAAAAATAACCTCTAACGAAGTTAATATAATTTTCTATAGATTTTTCCGACTGCCGCCTATGATTCTGCCAACAAGGAACAATTAATGTTCTCAAAGCTAATGCAGGCAAAAAATAACCTCTAACGAAGTTAATATAATTTTCTATAGATATTATTATGAATGCCTTATGAATTTTTCAGGAGAACCTGGTGCAGCCCAGAGGAATTTTGCCCCAGGTGACACTCTTCGCCACGACCAGTACTTGTCATACCCGCAGCAAAAAGTATGCATTCGTTTTCATTACAATTGTATATAATTATCAAATTTTTTTTCTAATAAAATAATAATTCATAACGCGAATTATTATAAATTTTTCCCGAAATAATTGCATTTTGTTTAGTATGTATAATAATATTTATGCGCGTGACCTTGCTAGCAAAGCCTACATTCATGTCGCTATGCTCAAGCAATGAACTGAAAGAAAAAATCCATCGGCGTCGTCGCTGTCCCCATTATACTTCGCATATAAAATGGCGAAGATTGGCAACGATAAGCAGTACCAACCGACGCTCGAGTAAAACCAACACCAGCAGGTGTACGAACCATTGCCTGCGTCCCTACGCGACCTTCCAGCTCAGCCGAAGTCAGCAGCACCACAGCCGAGACCACAGCACAGCCCTGCGCGACGAACTAGTCCTGCCGAGCATACTCACCGACCAGACGAAGGTAAGCCGTCTTCATCCGTAACTGTGGTACTCGCTTTGCACAGTGTCATGCTTCGCACCACTAGGTCAAATAGTTGATACACTCCAGGCCTTCCTGTAATAGGGATTTCACCCGAGTAGCCTGGGAGGGGGATTTCTATTGTAGTTGAACTTTGCCGGATCTCACCCTAGTACCCTGGAAGTAATGGGTTCGGTTATGTAGCTAATTTCGGCATATTTGATTGGTCAGCCCCTTTAGCTACGTTTTAGGTTATGAAGCATTGTTTACTTCCTAATCTTTGGCAGTGATCGCAGTGATAAATATGTTATTTAATACAACTTGATGCTTAGAATGGAAACACAATACATATTAATAAAAGATTTACCATCAGGATACAACTACCTATTTATTAATTCAAATGCTTAAAAATCAGATGAAACTATTATTCGTATTAAAGAAGTTTCGGATCAAGCATCTGCAGAGGTATAAGTATATCACACATCATAATTTTATGTAGCTATAAGGTTTCACATAATTAACTAGTACATTCTCATAGTCTACTTATATTTTTATTCTTAATAATATTATCAATTCATTTATTTTATAGGCGTGGCTCAATAGGTATATGGAGCAAACAAAAACAACCTGGAGGAAAGCTGCCATATACCCAAATAGTGGAAAGGTTAAAATATTTCGAGTAGATTTACGTTCTGTACACTTAACAGATAAAAAAGTGAAAGGAGTGCGTTCATCCAAAAATACTGGTTGTCCAGCTAAGTTGAATATAATTATTAAAAGGTAAGTTAACTCATATATAGGTATTTTATTTCGAAAGTGGCTATACGACTGTATTGACGAAATTTCCATTAAATCAAATTTGTTTTATAACATTTCCAGAGGTCACATAGAAGGCTTTGAATAACTTCGTAATAAAAGATCCACAGACATTGCTACAAGTGCTTCAGTAAATATGGCAAGAGGAAAATCCTACAGTTGGAAACAATCTATCTCGTATTTTTTCACAAAAAATTCCACAAATGTTGAAGATTTGAAAGAAATGATATTTGAGGCAATACGAAAACTTAAAAGCATAGGATTGGACGTTCTCGCCATAACATCGGATTAGGTTCCAAACTTTTTTAAATTAGTGAAATCATATCTTAAATCAACAGTTGAAATACCATTTTTTTTTTTGATGATATTCCCATCTTCTTATATTCGATGTCCTACATTTGTTTAAGTCGACAAGAATTTTTTTTTTCCTATAATTTTCATTTAAATGAGGGTGTTACTAATAAATGTTATTTAGAAACATTGTATAACCTTAATAAGGCAGAGCAATTTCAGCTAGAACCAAGGCTAACTGATCAGCATTTGAATTCAAATTCAACGGTTGCCATGCATACGTACATTGAGTTGGGAAAAATATCAGAAAAGACCAAGACAGCCGCAAACTTTATTAGTAATACGTACAAATTATTTGATATTTTAAATTCAAGCACTCTAGAATCATATCAAACTTTCAAGGGTACTGCGAAACAATTTGATTTTTTAAATAAAATGAATGAACTGTTTTCAACTTTGACCAACATGACCAAAAGCCTAAGATTTATTTATAGCTGGAGGCTGCCTATTTCATCAACCTTGAAATTATGAGAAGGGTTACGAAGATAAAATCATAAATTTCTATTGACACCCAACTTAAATCAAGATTGCCTGGAAAATTATTTCGGTCAAATTAGGAATGCTTGTGGAAACGCGAGAAATCCCACTCCGATCCAGTTCAGTAGAGGATGCTAATGATAATTTGCTTACCATAACACCAGATTCATTACAAAAATGCGAATTTTTGAATCAAACAAGAAAAAATTATCGGCAAATTTTAAATATACAAAGCAATGACCATCAAAATTTATTTACAGATGAAGGCAACACTACTAGTCTATGTAGGTGGAAACTTATTACGAAAACGTCTTTTAAAACATAAATGTGACATTTGCGTAGGTTTTTTGTAATGCTGACAATTGTGATACATCTACAATGTTTTGCGAAAAAAAATAAACCTACTGAGGTAGTCACATTATTATTGGACTATTTCTATATTAGACTTAAGAGTATTAATTCTTGTTTTGTAGGTACCTTATTAAACAGTTCAAATAAAATAAAGGTATAAAAGTTATTATAAAGTTATATTAATTTCTTTTTTATTCTTTCAGCAAAGCGCAGCGTTATAGCATCGCTCAAAAGGACCATTCAATTCAATACCTTGAAAGCCACCCGATGTTCGCAACTGCAAAATTTGCAGGGAAAGGGGGGAAGGAACGGTTACGCCACATGTGGGATATTCTCGCTGGAGAGCTGAATGCTATTGTAGGTGGAGCATCCAAAGACAGTAGCCAGTGGCAGACTGTAAGTATCCAAATTGCTTCAGATTTTCAATGTGTCCTAGATTTTAGGTTGCTCCTGAATTTTGTAAACTCGGCTAGAAAAAAAGTATTACATTTTTTAGGTGTGACGTGACCTGAAACACAAAGTTTCCAAAAGAGTTTCAGATATTCGGAATGAGCTGCAGCGGGCACTCAAGAGTTTAAACACCCACCTCTGACCCCCTATGACCCCCTGATTCGATTCCTGAAACTGAGATAGAAAAATTTTCTCTATACTTATTGTTTGTTTTTTAAACAGCTGTTTTCAATTTTTATTTCTTCAGATGTAACTTGAGAGATTGGAGACTGGGGATGAGTCTGTTTTGGACGAGCAGCCAGAAGTCTTTACAGTCTCTGTGATAGATCCACCAAGGAATGAGGAAGTCGAGGAAACTCAATTTGGTAGGATATATTTTTACATTTGAAATTTTCACCAACCTGCCTTAACAAAACAAAATAACAAAATATGGTTTTTTCTTTCTATTACAGATGATCTCTTTGAAGCAAACCTTGATGAGGCCATAATCACAGTAGAAACTGATGAAGCTCAAGTCGGCCCATCAAATGTGGTTACTCCGGCTAATAAGGGGACTACTCTAAAAAAGAAAATGTGCAAAAGTATGTAGTGCTATTTAATCTGTGACAGGATTTCATACTGTAATGATTTCTATTTTTTAAACGCAAGAAAGGCAAGCAGAGTACGAATAGGAACACAGTAACAAGAAGCTAGAATGAATTTCCAAGAGCTAAGCGCCGGTAATAACAAGGCAATGGAGGTCAATTTTCAGCAATTCAGCATGCATTCTTTGAAATTATATTTTCTTATTGTAATCAATAAATTATATACCTAATTATGCTTCTTTTATACTTTTAAGATTAGGCATTATTTTGCCAAAAAAAACACTGAGAATAACAAATATTGATTTTGTAGATGTTGGCTGAGGCTACGATGAAGCACGGAGAGGCTTCTTCAGATCAGGCAAAGGATGCTTCAGCGCAGGCAAATGCAGCTTTGCTTCAAGCTGCAAACGGAAGTGAGAGGATCCAGGCATTCATGAAACGGACAGATGTGCTTGAAAAAGTTCTGGATAAATTTTAATAGTTTTTTTTAAAGCTAAGTTAGTTGTAGGATTTTTTAAATAAAAAATATTTTGCAGCTAAAGATTGTGGAGAATTATGGAAAATTCTGCGGACCAAGTACATCAGGGAAAGAAAGTTTTTGAAGACAACACCACAATGGTCTGCCCACTATATTGAGGGCTGGTGGCATTATAGAGCATTTGGGTTTTCAGCCCCTGATATACAGACAAGAAGGGTCGTACATTTTTCTTTTGCTGTTCCTAAGAAAATTTTATTTTAAACCAGCTAAAGCAGGCATATAATTTGTTGTTTATTACAACTTGCATTAATTTTATTTTTAGGACAAAAGGAAATACTTAAAAAAGAAAATTTGAGCAAGACTCTGCTCAGGAAGAAGAATGTGTAGTGTGGAGGGCGTCTATGATTGTTGGAGACAATGGATTTCTTGAGTCCGAGCAAGAAGACAATTCTAACTCAATTGCATCACCTGTTATTCAAGAATTCTCACACTTAGAACAGCCAAACTCCTTCCACTTCCCAGTACAGAGAAGAAACATCCTCTTTGAGAAAAGAAAGAAATATTGATAAAGAAAAAACAAAAGCAAATACCAAACAAGTTTTGGAAGTGTTCAGATATAGGGCAAAGTATGGACATATTTATTAAACAAACTATTACAGCAGCTCAAATCCCGACTGAGGAATCAAACTTTGCCCTAAGCCTAGCTGGGCACTGGGTCACTGGCCAGAATGCCAACCTACCCATTGGATAAGGTTAGTTTGATAGTTACGCTTAAGACTAAAATTATGTATTGTGTTTATGACTTCTGCTTATTCCATGGCTAAACCCGCCTTAAGGAACAGGAAGAGCATGTAAAAAGCCAGATCCTTCTGCCGAAGAATTTGAAATGGCCAAAAAAATATTTATTGAATCTTTTAAAAAAAATGACGATTGAATTGGAAGAGATTGAAAAACGAACTAGAGAACAGTATAACTCCATAGAATGGCTAGATACAAAGAAAAAGATTTTGACAGCTTCAAATTTTGAAACCATTTGCAAGAGAAGAGCAACAACTTTTTTGGCAAAATCTTTAATTAGCCCAAAGTATTTTGTATCTGCCTGAACAGATTGCAGAAGCTAATGAAGCTGGAGCCATTAGACAACTAACATCTTGAAAATTCAAGTAAAAAATTGCGGATTATTTATATCAGCAGAATATCCATATTTAGGAGCTACCGGACGGTTTGATAAGTGAAATGGAAATAGTTGAAATAAAGGGTCCATTTTCGACTCGAAGTATGATTCCGGAGGACAGAATTCGAGCAAAAAAAATTACAATATGGAAAGAATAACAAGGCGAGTTTGTTTTAGATAAAAACCATAAGTGGTTTTCCTAAATTCAGCGACAGCTTGCCACGCAATTTCCGCCCTTAAACAGCTCCAGCAATTTAAAGGGGAAGGTACGGTAAGGTGGACAACGGAATGCTAGGCTAGCGCAGCTCGGGAGTGGTCGTGCGGTTCAAACTCAGAATCACAGGAATAAAAAAATATGGGCGCCAGTAACCTATATAAGAAAGCCCAATTCCCAATGTAGATTGATAACCGGTTACAAGAAATCATCAAAAGTTATCATTCGCATAGCAGATCGAAAATAGCGGGTTGCCAGAGTAAAAGAAAAAGATAATTAATTCCAAAAAAATATATTTAATCAGTATGAGCACGTTCCTTTTTTTCAACACCAGAAAATTATATTATTTCAGCGTATACACTGATAGATGGGGAAAATAATCTTAATTAATCTAATATTTGATATTGATTACCTTTAATTTAGCGTTGTCAAGGGTGTAACTCAAAATACCTTACGTGATCACGGTCGGTGTACATTTAATCACAAAACCTATAATATATATAATATCAAACAAATGTTACAGCGCTCATGACACAAAGAAATAATGCACTCCGGCCCTGAGCAATACAAAATCATAAAAGCTAATCAATAAATTAATAAATCTGTGGACTGTAATTAATAGTTATCGGTCTTCCACAGAAAAGAAAATGCTCAGGTACGGTCCTGCAGTGGTTACGCCAGTTAAAAGCAATGAGATTTAGGTATAAATACCTTTAATACAAATAAACGTGCAAAATGCTAATCAAATATGCAAAAAATCATATGTAAAATAACCATAACTGAGGTGATAATAATGAAATAATTAATAATTAATTGAAACTACTCTTTAGTCTGTTCATCAATGATAAAATAGAATCACAATAAGTAGTTTAGTTTATACTAGGTGGGTACCAAAACGTATTGATGAACCATGAAAAAGGCACCAATATTCTAATAATTGTAAGGTAATAGACAGTTGAAGTTGAGCCCAAACGTAAACACTAACACGGACGTTAACAATTAAACTTCACGTTTACGCAATGCATCCAAAAGCTAGTTGAAGTGTGACATTTCACGTAGAGCGTTAACGGCTGACCTAACCTCAATTTTTTCCAATAACAACAACAAAAATAATTTGATTTGTTTTGTTGAAATGTTTGAGGATTGAGTGTACTACACGTAAAATGGAAGAAATTTTAAATGCAGCTGTAATTGGTGAATCTGATGTTGAAGATGAGGACATAGAAGATGTATTATTGATACATGTATTTAATGAAAATTTAGTGGGAAATCGGGCTAATATTTATGGGCGATTCAATTTTGACGAATTATCAGAGAATGAATCAAAAACATATTTTCGATTTGAGAAAATAGATATTCCTCGCCTTGCTAGAGAATTAGGAATTCCAGATGCAGTGACAACAGATGAGAAAATAACTCTTCCAGGTAGGTACCTACCGAAAGCAACCAGCAACCATTATTTTGGAAAATCGTTATATTATATCTGGATATTTTTATTATTTATACTTTGATAATTATTAATTTTAGCTTTCACCCTTTACCAAACTGTGTTTATTTTTCTGTGATAATTAATTTCTTGTAGGTATACATGGGCTCTGCATTTTATTGAAAAGGCTGGCTTATCCCAATCGACTTGTTGATTTGGAACCATTTTTTGGATATTCTTACAAGCATTGCCAATAAAGTAATGACCATAATAATTGAGAATAAAGGTCATTTGTTGCAAAATTTAGGAGCAAATATCTGGCTAAATGAAGAGAAATTAAGGCAATATGCAAATGTGAGTACCAACTTACATAGATATCATATATCAAAATGAATAAATGAATTATGTATATCTGCCTTTCTATTTTTCGTTTCATTAGGATCTTGCTTGATGACAATATAAAATCTTTTTCAGGCTGTTGCTGCAAAGGGTTGCCCAATGAACAACGTATGGGCCTTTATTGATGGCACGATAAGACCGATATGTAGACCAAAAAGAAACCAACAGTTGTATTATTCAGGCTATAAAAAAGTACATTGTGTGAAATACCAATCTTTATTATGTCCAGATGGCCTAATTGTTAGCCTTAAAGGTGCCTATCCTGGGCATCGACATGATGCTGGCATATTCAGGGAATCTGGTATTTATGCAGAGTTAGAGGAGTATGCTGTGCATGAAGACAGAAATTATGTGATATATGGAGACCAGGGCTATGGCTTGAGGGAACTCCTAATAAGGCCTTTCAGTCCCCAACAAATTGCTAGAAATCCAGAAAGGCAAAATTTTAATACCATAATGAGCAATTTAAGAGTATCAGTTGAGTGGGGTTTTGGAAAAATCATTAGGGAGTTTGCTTTTTTGGATTAAAAAAAAAATCAGAAACTGTTATTGCAAGAGGTAGGATCGATGTATCATGTAGCAGCACTTCTATCAAATTGTCACACATGCCTGTATGGGAGTCAGCAATCAGTTTATTTCAATATTCAGCCTCCACCTTTGGAAATGTATTTACAAAATTAGTATGTAGGTAATTGTTAATAAAATTTATATATGTTTTTCCATTGAAATGTTGTTTATTTGTCAAACATATCACAAATATTTTTCAGTCACAAAATATATAATAATAAATAATGCATAACCTAGATTAATCAAAAAAAAACAAAACAATACTTCTTTAAATCAAATAAAAAAAATCAAAATCTTTATTTACGCTACTTTATTCTAATAGAATTAATCAGACAAAAAATGGACTAGTAACAGAATAATATTCACAAGAAAAACTTAAAGATATTTAAGTACTAAATAAACAAAAAGAAAAGGAAAATGTAGCAACTCTAAAAAAAATTGCACTAAATGAAAACTCTAGAAACTAATGAAACATAAATAGATGAAAAAAAACTCAAAAAACTAGGCTCTAATCGAGGCTCTAATATAACTTACTAATAAAAAAAAAACAGAAACTAATGAAACATTCAATATTTTTTGTTTGTTTCAAGAATGTGATTTTGAGAGAAGCTCTTCAATTAAACTCTGCTGTCGGCTTATTATTTCAGTATGGCATTTTATCCTTCTTTCTTCCAGAATTACTCTCCTTTCTTCTAGCTCCAATTTCTTTTTCCTTTCATATTCCTCCAGCTCTAGTTTTCTCTCTTGTAGAGATAATTCCCTGCATTTCAACTGATTTTGCAAATCGTTTTTTTTTTGTAAGATATTGAACAGTATTAGTTTTTACATTTCCTGTAGAAGCTCTTTTTCGTGTAGGTGCTAAAATGAATCATATTAGGAATAATAAAGTGCTTTATATTTTCACACTGACAAAATATTGTAAATAGGTTTACTGACTTGCAATATTTAGCTGGGCTAATGGTCTTTTAGCAGAAGTGGGTCGAATTTGATTAGAAGGAATATTTTAAACATTTTTTGGCATAGGCAAATCAACATTTTCTTCAAGTACAGCTTGATCAAGTATACCATAAGTTATTTCCACTTCAGGTATTTCCAGGGATATTTCAGTTTCTATGGAACAAAACCCAAAAGATTTGATTAAAGTGTGGAATAAAGTGATTAAAAACTATTTTTTTTGTCCTAAACAAATTTATATTCAGGTAAGTATACAACAATTACCTTGATAGTTTGGAGAATCAAGTCCAAGTGAACATGCAGCCTCTTCCCTCATTTCATAACCTTTCTGGTATGAAGTTTTGATTTTGCTTTTTTGAGGATTTTCTTTTAAATTATTACTTAAAATATTCTTTCCTTTTTTGTTTTGAAATTCCTTTATGAGTTCATATATTTGTTGTAGAAGCTCATCAATTTCAGTTATTTCAACTTCTCTTCCTGATCTAAAAGAGAGAGTAATTACATGATATAAACAAAAACTTAATTTTCTCTTGCAGAATCCTTTTTATTTTGTTGAACATTTCAGTATTACATCACTACAATGGGCAATTTTCTTCTCAAATTTCAAGATTTCTAGGTTGAAATCTTAAGTAGGTACTTAACATAAAAAATAT